AGAATAAAGGTTACGCCTTCTTTCTTTGCGTGAACCTTTGGGCGGCGTTATGCAAATCTTCTCACATCGTGACGTAGACATGTGGGGTGTGTTAGAACGAGCCGTTTTAGGTAGGTGTGGCTGACTCTGAACTTTGATAAAGAATATCTCTTTGGATTTGAGACTTTAGTCTTTGCAACTTTTCAGATCTTCTTTATGCACCAAGAGCTTGTAACACTCCAAAGAGAAAGGAAAAATTGAAATCGCATCATATGACCCCTTTAAGTGCAAGCAAACAGCTAAGAAGGAAAACACACGTTAACAGTATATTGGATCCGGGCAGCTCTTAAAGTGATAGCAGTCTAAAATTCCTGCTCTCTGTCATTCATGTTAATCAAATAACAAGAGAGAAAATCTCTCACTGCTCTTGACAATCACTTTTGTAACTTTAATAAGCAGAAATATATATTTAATTTACTCAGTAAAGAATATGCAGTGTTTTTATTCATTTGATTTGTTTATTCAATTTATATAGTATTTCTTATTTATTTGTTCTGCTGTAGTTTTTTTGTCCTGTTGCTTATAATTAGTTTCTTATTCTTATTTAATCGCTGCTGGTTTACTTGACTTCAGTGAGCTTTATTTTTTTTTTTTAGGCTTGTATGAGTTTTTTGTGATGTTGACACTGGTGACAAGAATAATGAAATTTCTATGGTATCAAAAATGTTGATATCAAAGACCTTATTTTAAGCAAAAACAATCGTGATATATATTGTCACCACGAAATAAAATTACTCATAGCATGATATAAGATTGTGGTCATATCGCCCATCCCTAGTGGAAACCTTGACATTTTTCAGGATTCTTTAATTTATAGGAAGTTCAAAAGAACAGAATTTATTTTGAAATAAATACTGTATATACACACACTGACCCCAACTTTTGAACTGCACGGGACACTAATCTTACACTGATTGCTATAAATAATGATTTGAAACTAAAATCCCTATGATTTGAACAGCATGTGTGCCTCAGTTTTTGCTCATGGTCATCTGGTCATCTTATTCCATAGTGGGTGCTGCACACTGCAATTCGAGCTAAATAGGTGGTCGTAGGGAGAATAATAAGTCGGTACAGGTTGCTGGCATTGTGCAGTATGATGATGTGAAGGGATTTACTCTCTTTGGTCAGTGCACACTTATCACGACCGACATTTGGTAAATAACCCTGCGTCAGGGCTGGCCTTATCCACCCGCCTTTAATTGAAAGAGGGGACATTTAAACTTCCTGAGAGCAACTGCTGCTGCCAAGCAGCCTGCCCTGGAACGGAGAAAACACATCACTTCCCAGCAGATGTTTGAGCAATTATTCAAGCACGTATCCGTAAATATTAGATGCAAAGCCAACGGAGGGGGAAGAGGGGGAAGAGGAGGAGGAGGAATGGGAGGGCTGCTGGGCTGGACAATTTAATTAGGTGTCACCTTAGGACAGAAACCTGAATGGATTCGTTCCAAGTCTCCTTGAACAAGAGCCAAGAGTATTTATAATGTGTCCAGCCCCTATCACACACTTTTTCTACTTTGTTTTAGAAGTGAAGCCCATAAATTACCCAGCGACGGCAAGGCTACAATTCTGAACAGTCATAAACAATTTGGCAAGCACAGTTAGAGTGTGACTTTCTGCGTAATAAAAGTGGTGCGCTTTCACGTTCTGCAATATGGTGAAACTCCAATAACAATTTGAGGTGCTACAGTGAAGTCATAACTATAGTTTTAGGTTATCTGACTGGGCTGGAAATATGTGTGCAAATTTTACTCAAATAAAATCCAATATCTAGCCAAAAAACATACTTTGGGCAAAGTTTTTTTTTAAAATTATTGTTATGAATATACACAAATATATTAGAATGTTACAAAAATTGGTTTTAAATAAATGCTGTTCTTTTGAACTTTCTATTTAAAGAATTCTGAGAAAGAAAATATGTGACCCTGGACCACAAAACCAGTCTTAAGTCGCTGGGGTATATTTGTAGCAATAGCCAAAAAAAATTATTGATTTTTATTTTATGACAAAAATCATTAGGATATTAAGTAAATATCATGTTCCATGAAGATATTTTGTAAATTTCCTACTGTAAATATATCAAAACTTAATTTTTGATTAGTAATATGCATTGCTAAGAACGTCATTTGGACAACTTTAAAGGCGATTTTCTCAGTATTTTGATTTTTTTGCACCCTCAGATTCCAGATTTTCAAATAGTTGTATCTCTGCCAAATCTTGTCCTATCCTAACAAACCATACATCAATGGAAAGCTTATTCAATTTCAAAAAGAATGACCCTTATGACTGGCATATATAGACTGATTGAGAACTTCACAAGTATTCAGATCAAGTACACAGTTCCTCAAATAAAACGTACAATTTATTCATGAGCTTTAAATCCCTGTCTGTGTTGAATGGAGTGTGGTACTGAGTTTACCTGCACTAGAGCCTCTTTCATTGCAGCCCAGTTGGACACTCTCCAGGCACACTCCAGCACCAGGTATGGGTTGTTATGGCCTTTAGATTGCCCATACTCTGTCAGAGGCTCCCACTGGTTCAGCTCTTTAGAACAACTGGAAGTCAACGTAACATTTCATTAAATGTGTGTGGGGTGAGGGTGGGGACAGCTGACCTCTTCCATGCCTGACACAATTAATTAACTGACACTACAGTTTTTGTCCTAAGCAATGCAAAACAAAACTTTGAGAGTGTAATTTTGGTCAACCTCTATTAGTCATTTGGTTCTATTTGCACAATAAAGTCTTGGTTAATCCACACAGCTGTATCTTAAAAATAATGGTGTATTATTGGCAGTGATTTTGTTGCCCTGGTGCAGTATATTCTTAGTAGTACTGCTTGGCAAACTCACGTATCAGTGTATGTCTCAAGTATTGAATCAGAGCTGTGGTCATTCAACGTACCGTATCCAGTGATCCTCCCACAGCTGGTACTCTGGAAAGATGGCGGGTGAGACATTGTGCTCTTTGCGAGCTTTCTCCATTGCCTTCTCATAGGTTTCTTGAGCCTAATGATGATGGACTCAGCATTATTATTATACACAGGGCCCTGAGAAATGTTTGATGTCTTCCCAAATTCTGTGCTTTCCAAATGAATTCTGCATTTTCTATATTAATTTTGCATTCTGTTTTAATGGTTTGATTACATTTTACTAATGTATAATGTCTAAAGAAGAATTTAATAATGTAATTTTAAACAAATGAATGCATAAAACTTTAACAATTTAATTTCATAAAGTGTAATCACATGAAATTTGAACAGCCTTTTTGCAGTTTAATATTTACAGACACTAGTCCATAACATGATTTGATTAAGTGTGCAGCCCTTCTTTTTGATTCATTCATTCAAATCTTGCCAAACACATGCAAGGCGATACAATCTTTTCAGTCTCTCACCTGTTCAAAGAAGCCATGCTGCTCGTATGCAATGGCTGTGCTCGTCTCAGGGAACTTGCATCTCTTCTGCCAAAGCCCCGCCCACATGTCCTCTTCCTGCAGTAGGGAATAGAGCTCCGCCAGCGAGTCGAGAATCTCCTGAGGGAATACAAGAACACATCTTCAAAGAATATAGGGGACAAACACATCCATATTCAGAGGTGTCCCAATGAGATGACTGCTTAGCATAAGCAGCTTGAATGCTGGGATACTTCAAACTGAACTCACTGACAGGTCAAAACAAAGCCAATTGGAAATTCAGCACACAAGTTCATTTTGAGTGACACCGGGGAACCTTCAGAACACAAAACTTCCTCTGCCATGAATATCAATGGCAACAAAGACAAAAGAAGGGCTCATGCATCACTGTACCTGCTGTGGAGGAGTGATGCTTTCCTGCTCATAGAACTCTGTGCTCTGTTTGGGTTTGATGTGCAAGCTAAGGCCTTTCTCAAAAGCTTGCTGCTCCAGCATCAGGGTGGAGCGTAACCATAGATTGTGGGTCTTTCCCAAGTACTTCAGCACGCAGGGCCTGATGGGTATGGGCGGCACGCACTGAGACATGGCCTCCACAAAGCAGTTTAGAGCACTGGGCTGGCAATCTCTCTGAGCTTGATGACTACCGCTACACAGGAACGGACCCATCTCGCCTGAGAGTGCCTGCAAAAAGGGATACATAAGACCAAAATTAGAGATGCATGATATATTGGTACAATATTAGTCCATCGGCTGATATTAGAAAACTTTTTAATGAACGTCAGTATCAGATTTTTAATAATTCATGTTGATTTCCATTATTTTTGTATTTAGTTTACCTTTGCCATCACCTAATCATATAAAAAAAAGCAATAATGCCATTACATGTAATCTTTAGCAAATCTCAAAACGAATATTCATACCATAAATTTGTAAAAATACAAATAATCTGCAAATCTGGTTAAGAGAAAAAGATTTAAGAAATTCTTTTATTTTTTTAAATTATTTATTTATTGATTGATTGATTGATTGACAGACAGGCAAAACAGTTTAATGGTATCAGCCTGAATATTGGTCAACTTCAATTAAAAATAAATAAATAATTAATAATAATAATAAAAACAGGGTGACTTTGATGACAACTTCACAATAATGTTTAAAATAAAACGTACAAAAGTAGCTTCTCACCAAACATCAATGGGAATTTGCTATAAATATTCAATAGGAATGTCAATGCTAAAGATAAACAGCCCATGTTACACAAAGACCTTTGCATTATTATTATTACAGAAAAAGACTGATGCAGTAAATGCGTCCTAGTATTTTATACCTACTATTACACTACTACTACAAAAAAAAGATTTCTATTTTGAATGCGTGTTGTAATAGTCTATAGCCTCAGTCACTCCAAATTAAAGTCCTTTAATGAGAATTCTAATACTTAAGACATCTGGTTCATTAAACTCAGATATTTGCATAAAAGGTTTAATTTCTGCACATTAGCAAATGCTGCCTGTTTAAGTTCATAGGCAGGGGCAGAAAGACAGCCCGCCAGACCCCCACCCATGGAAAGGTCTCCAAGATGAGCGGATAGGCACAACCTCCGACACCATTAACACACATTTTGCATGCTGATTCTGCAGTGATATGCATTATTAGTAGTAAAACAGGCAGTCTACACTTAAACCACAACAAAGGTCAAGTTAAAATGAGCAGCAGTCATACTCTGCATCTACACGGAAAATGTTTAGAGGAAAATGGCCAACTGTTAGCTCAGCTCTTTGGAGAACTGAAGTACTCACATGCTGCTGGCGGTCCGACAGAATCTTCCACAGGCGGGGGAAGAGCTGGACCCAGGTCTTCTCAGCCAATGGGGTGGAGATGTGGCACAACTGAACCAGTGCATTCAGCAGTGCTCCCGTCTGATTACACACACAAGAGACTCATTTAAAGATAGGCAATATATCGTCCATTAATCAACCGACATTTAGCCACTTGAGATTATCGCATTGGCTGATAACAGTGCCAGCTCAGGCGATTAACAGAAGTGCGCCTTGTCTTAGTTCCAAGTCTACCAGGAAACATTTGTTAATGAACATCTATTAGTTTTTATTCTTAACTATGTATATATACTTTGTTTTTGCATTTGTTTTAGTTTGTTATTTTAGTACATAAAACTAACCTAAATGAAAATGAGATATAAAATAAACTATGTTTTGTATATATTATCTATACAATTTAACATTTATTTCAAGTAACAAAATGTTATGGTTTTGGTTTATCTATAAAACCCTGCTTAACACACACTATTCTTTATACTTGCTTCCTATATGTATCATGTCACGTTCGCAGCAAAAAAAGATTTAATCTTCACTCATGACACCAGACATTCAAGGACAAAAGAGTCTATTCCTTTTCAAAAATTACTGTACGTCTGTACACTGTACGTTCATATGCATGACTGGTCATCACCTCTTGCCACTGAATAATTCTTAGGGCATAACTGCACGTAAAGGTTTGGACCTCTGACCACAAGAGGAATGGAGATGTTAGCAAAAGCCTGAACTCAAATGTGTGCTGTGGTTGCTCACAGCAGCTTCGGTGGGCAACGCAGGCAGGTCAGGGCTTTGAACTCCTCACTTCATCATTTATCTAAAGCCAGCTTGAGAGGTGCATATAAAGCAGCACCGTGTCTAGGATTAAATAGAAATCAATGACGCTGTGACCTCAAAGTGCTCGGAGACAGAATCCCATGTTGCCCTGATCAAACTCTCTTTAACAGAGCGCTTATGAGGGAGCAGCCAAATGAGGAAGAGCAGGTTAGAGATGAAAAAAGCCAGAACCAAAAGTGCATGTTAAACTACACAGTTCAAAAGCCCGTATGACTTCTGCATGTGACTCATTCCTACATATGTCCTTTATGTAACCTGTCTTTTTTTTTTTTTAGTTTTGCTTTACTTTTCCTAATGCTAGAGGTTGCACTCGTGAGGGCGGCATATGTTGAGGTGATGGCTCACCTTGACCTCTCTCAGGGAGTCCAGGAACTTGTCGTGGCGGTTGGTGAGCATGTGCAGCTGGTTGCCTGCGTCTCGCTCTGCCTGCTCCTTGGTCTTAGGGAGGCTGGTCTGGTCTCCAGGTGCCAGTTCAATGTCTATCTCCACATCCTACAGATGAAAAAGGTCACAAAAACACAAAATATGAGAATTTTTTTTTAACTTACTACACTTACAACAGGCCTCTATGAACATTTAAAAACACCTTTGAATTCCTGAATTTGAATTGAGGGCAGATACAGGAAACTAATTTAAGGTAGTAGAGTTTAAATATAAATTCAATGTTTTTAATAATACATTTAATATAATTTACGTTTAATATAAACATGTCAACAAACTTAAGGAGTATTTTTAGAAACATTAGATGACATTAATATGCATTTCTATTTATTTGGCATTTCAGATGATTATTAGAGTATATATTTAATATGTAGTATATATTTCATTTTCATGTTACTATTTTACTTTGACATTTTTAGGACAAAAAATAAAATTTTAAATATAATTTTATATATATTTTAAGATCTTTGTTACACACACACACACACACATATACATATTTGGGCTGTCGCGATTCGTCGATTCTATTCGACTTTTAAAAATCCTCGACTTAATTTTGCCTGCATCGACTAACCGGCAAAATACCGGAAGTGGCGCATTTCGCGGACGAGAATCCATAAAACACATTATTAGACTGTTTTCCAAGGCCACGTGATATATTAAACCCGTTTAAAAAAAATCATAATTAAGCATAACTGTGAATTCACAAACGCTACGATTTAATTAAATAATTATATGTGATGCAGTTATAGGCTTGTAGGTTACGTACGTGCGTCTCACAGCACTCCGTTCACAGTAAATGCTGTTCCACAGGAACTGTTATTATTTACATGTGTGGAGCGGCTCAAACTCCATCTCTGCGTGTTGTTGTGAGTTTGGGTTTATTATAACGTTCATCTGGGAATGCAACGTGCGCCATTTCATCAGATTTGTAAGGTAAATCATTTACAAATCCACGCAAACACAGGAGAATACATCATTATATCGCGGTTTCAAAATAAAAGCTCAAACCCTCACACTTTTTTTTTAAAAACAAAGAGTTTACACGTTTTGATGTCCACATATTCATTAAATTACAGTGGCTATAGCATTTCTGTCCTAAAGAAATGGACAAATATTAAAGATGAATTTGATATTTGAATTAAATGGTGCTTGGTAAATATTAAAGGGGTTATATGATGCGATTTCAATTTTTCCTTTCTCTTTGGGG